CTAAATTTCTATTCAGGACTTCCCTCGACCTAAATGAATGAAAAGTGAGTTCCTTTTCTACGCTGAAAAGCCTTCGATTACCTCTTCAGTTCACATTCAGTTCTCTTTTCGGGATGTCACATAAACAACCCGATTGGGCGAAAGTCGTTATCGCTAAAGCCTGCTATTTTTGCTGGACTACAATACCGCTACTAATTTTTGTTCAATCGACGGTTTGCGACGGTCGGAAACCGTCGCAAACCGTCGGCTCGCCATAACTCTTTAAAAAATGGTTCGCTCGACCTGCAGTTTATACCATCTGATAGCTCTGCTCGAGATCTACAAGATGGTTAAATTCAATTTCTGAAAGAGCTCCATCTAGGATTGCGCCATGCACTCGACCTCCATCCCGAGAAGTAATGAATATACTTTGTATGTGATGCGCATATAAGTCCTCCTATGCAGCCTGATCATCCCACAGAAACATGGATCTCAACACCCTCAGAATACGCCACGTACCCAACCGGTCCACCATATGGTGAGATTGAAGTGAATGTTTTTTTTTCGAATTTCACGATCTTTACTTCGTTTTAGAGTGCTAATTGGCTAACCGTGCGCTGATCAACCCATTCTTCCACTCCAAATGAGAATCTTCGAACAGTTTCCAGCAGTAGTAGTAGACCTATTATGTGACATTCCCCACATTTAGAGGAGATGATTTGCGGAAACCTGAGAAGATAGCCAGGAATCTCTCCACAGACGTAGACTCCAGTTACTTCTCTGTAGGATTGATGTAGAATATTTGGTCACGGGTAAGCGCTCCGTCCGTGGTGTGGCCCCAAACATCACTCTCCGTCATGCCCTAAAATGAAAATCAGATTTTTTGCTCTTCCAGATGAACTCGCAGACCTGAGATGTGCCCCATTGGATTCCCCGTGAAAAATGCTATCGAATGATATACATTACTCCTGAGAAGAAAGCCAGGAATCTCTCCACAGACGTAGACTCCAGTTACTTCTCTGTAAGGATTGATGTAGAATATTTGGTCACGGGTAAGCGCTCCGTCCGTGGTGTGGCCCCAAACATCACTCTCCGTCATGCCCTAAAATGAAAATCAGATTTTTTGCTCTTCCAGATGACTCTACAGAGCTGAGGGTGCCCCGTTGGATTCCCCGTGAAAAATGCTATCGAATGATATACATTACTCCTCCCAGTTGAAACTTTGGTTTTTCACCGTTTTCAGCCTTCCCCTATTGCCGATTGGCATCATTATTCCACTATTACTGCCCCAAAATCTCAAAGTTTCATTTTTCGTCGAAACTTTGCCTATTGGGGTAATTCGATGCCCTGATTACGAATATGACATTCATTCTCGTAGTGGGGCCCCAAACATCACACCTCGCCCCATTTTTTGCGACAACTTCAACTTTTTTTTGTTCCATGTTTAGAGCAGCTGTTATGTAGAAAGCTGTGAAGGCAGCGACAAATTTCCTTTACTGACGTAGACTACGGTTACTTGTCTGTAGGAATTACATAGAAACCTTGGTGGCAGGTGAGTCTTCCTTCCGTAGTGCGACCCCAAACATCACACCTCGTCATGCCCTTGCGATATGATCAGATTTTTTTTTGGTTCTCCAGATGAACATAGAAGACTGAGATGTGCACCATTCAATTCCCCATAAAAATACTGTCGAACGGTATACAACTCACTTTTTGGAGAACATCTAGTTTACCTGCCACTAGATCCATTTTGTGACATTTCCCAATTTTCGAAGGGATGTTTTGAGGAAATTCGAGAAGGGAGGGACGAACTCTCTTCCCTATAGAGTAAGTTTACTTGTATGTTGGAAAAAGATGATACACTCGGGCTTGAGCGAGTGTTTCTTCCCTGGTGTGGCCTCAAACATCGCTCTCCGTCATGCCCTGAAATAAAAACCAGATTTTTTGGTCTCCCAGGTGGCTCTACGGATCTGTGGTGTACACCGTTCGATTCTCCATGCAAAATGCTATCGAACGATATACATCTCAGTTCCCACTTGAAACTTTCGTTTTTCACCGTTTTCGGCCTTTTCCTTATCGCCGATCGCCTTCCTCAGCCCTGGCCACCCACGTGCGCGGTGCGTGGTGACTTTCCCACGCACTTTCGACACGCATAGCGGTGTATCGATCGGGCTGCCCGCCAGCTACCGAGAAAGGCCATCGGCTGTCACGTGAGCTCTCACGCTCCGCGCACGTGAATAGCACGTGGGTGGCCAGGGCTGAGGAAGGCGATCGGCGATAAGGAAAAGGCCGAAAACGGTGAAAAACGAAAGTTTCAAGTGGGAACTGAGATGTATATCGTTCGATAGCATTTTGCATGGAGAATCGAACGGTGTACACCACAGATCCGTAGAGCCACCTGGAAGACCAAAAAATCTGGTTTTTATTTCAGGGCATGACGGAGAGCGATGTTTGAGGCCACACCAGGGAAGAAACACTCGCTCAAGCCCGAGTGTATCATCTTTTTCCAACATACAAGTAAACTTACTCTACGATAGGGAAGAGAGTTCGTCCCTCCCTTCTCGAATTTCCTCAAAACATCCCTTCGAAAATTGCGAAATGTCACAAAATGGATCTAGTGGCAGGTAAACTAGATGTTCTCCAAAAGTGAGTTGTATACCGTTCGACAGTATTTGTTATGGGAATTGAATGGTGCACATCTCAGTCTTCTATGTTCATCTGGAGAACCAAAAAAAATCTGATCATATCGCAAGGGCATGACGAGGTGTGATGTTTGGGGTCGCACTA